TATTTAAACCATGGTATAATTGCTAGGGTAATACCCGGTTTGTACGCCATAATTTCCTAACAAACTCTTGTATAGTGATATGGAGGTTTTCTGACATGCTACATATTAATATTAGGCCTTTAACAAACTCAGGCTTGGACGCTAAGATTTCAAGAAATTCTGACATGCATGCTAACTTTTTTGATTCATAGGAAAATTAATATCTTATGTATTCAAGAAACTAAGTGGGTGGGAGAAAAGGCTAAGGAGATTGATAATTTAGGTTTTAAACTTTGGTATTCTGGTAAGAGTCGCACTAGAAATGGTGTAGGTGTAATTATAGATAAGAGTTTGAAAGATAATGTTGTAAAAATTAATAGAGTTGGTGATAGAATTATAGCCCTTAAGATTATCATTGATACTAAGATTTTTAATATTATAAGTGTTTATGCTCCTCAAGTAGGTTTAGATACAGAGTCTAAAGATAAATTTTGGAATGACTTAGAAGACTTAATACAAATGATACCTCTTGAAGAAAGAATTTTTATTGGAGGAGATTTAAATGGACATGTCGGTAGAGCGGTGGAAGATTTCAGAAATATTCATGGTGGCTACGGTTTTGGAGTAACTAATGAAGAAGGTAAAGTTATTTTAGATTTTGCTTTAGCGTTTGATTTTGTTATTACTAATACTTTATTCAAGAAAAGGGATGAACATCTTATTACTTATAAGAGTGGATCTAATAAAACACAAATTGATTATTTTCTTATGAGAAGAAGAGATCGCCGTGATTGTAAAGATTGTAAAGTCATTCCAAGTGAAAATTTAAATACCCAACATCGTTTATTAGTTTTAGATTTTAAGTTTAAGAGTTGTAAACTAAAATATACTAGGACTGCCTGAATTGACGCCATGACGTCAACTATAGGCGCTTAGGCGCCGATTCATGTAGAATTGACAGAGAAGGTGGTGTCTAGGCGCCACATATTGGCGCATAGGTGCCAGTTAATTTCTCTAGCCGACAGAGGAGGTGGCGCCTAAACCCTAGGCGCCAGAACTGTCTGGGACAGTTTTGCAGCGGTTTTTCACACGAATGGATGGGTTTTTGTTCAAGGAGGCATAAGAGACGAGAGGAGAGGACATTAGAGTAAGGAAGGAAGAAGAGAGCAGTGTAGGGAAGTGAAGAAAAAGTGAAAAGTTTTTTCTTTTCTTTTCTGTATTTACTTTGAGATTTGTGAGAGGTGTAAGGAATTGCAAGGAGAACACTTTGGGGGGAGATCTTCTTCATTTCTCAAGGAAGAAGATTAGTATCTTGTATTTTCATTGTCGTGTATTGAAGTAATTCTTAGTATTTGACTTTGATTTAATATAAGATGTTGTGCTTTGTGGTTTTCTTCATGAAATCTGAGTAGCTTCCTTGTTTGCTTTCTTTTGTGATGAAATAACAACATGTGTAGAAGTAGATTAAATTAGAATCATGTTAATTCAATGATTGCGAAGGTTTTTTCATTTGAACTTCATTTGCATTGCAATTTGGCCAATTGTAGTGTTAAAATTCATTGTGAACCCATAAGATATGGGAGGTTATGACTTCAATCAACTCGTGAAAACCACACTAATCTTTAGGGTGAAGAAAAAATAATCTTTAGGTTAGTGCAAATAGATAGGGAGCTGATTTTAGCGTGGATAACTAGAAGGTTTCTCGGGTGACAGACAGACAAACCCTAAGTTAACCGAGTTTTTTTGTTCACTTGGAAAAGGTTAAAGATAATACATGCTCCTATTTGTCGCATGTTAATTTAGGAAGTTTAGTTGATTTACACCTACATTAGCTATTATTTTTATTACAAGGGGAGGAACCTCTAAAATAGCTTGCACTTTCCATCTCATTTAACTTTATGTATTTAGCTTATTAGAAAACTTAGAGGAGTAGAAGTAGTTTGGTAGAATTTCTAGCTCACAACTATAAATCAAACCTATTTCCTAAATAAGATTCTTTAAATTCAGCTAGAGCCTTTCTTAAGTCCGTAAACTTTACAGCATTTCTCGTGGGATCGATACTCGGGACTAAAGAAAATTCTATATTACTTGAGCGATACGTGCACTTGCATTTATACCTCTTGAACAGTGATATTGAGTGGAAAAGTAAGTTATAAAATATATTTTCAAAATTATAGTATTTAAACCCTAAATTGCTGGTTATACCATTGAGAAAGTAGCGGTCATGTATCATTTGTTTTAAGTCTTCAAGGTCATTTTAGAAATTATCTATAGAACTTATATCTAAACCTATTTGAAGAGCGTAAGCATTTATAATATTAAATACCTTAATATCAACCATAATCTTAAAGGCTATAATTCTATTTTCAATTCTATTAATTTTTACAACATAATCTCTCAAACTCTTATATATAATTACACCTTCACCATTTCTAGTGCGACTCTTACCTGAATGCTAAAGTTTAAAACCTAAGTTATCAATCTCCTTAGCATTTTCTCCTACCCATTTAGTTTCTTGAATACATAAGATATTTATATTTCTATGAATCATAATATCAGCTAATTCCATTAATTTATCTGTGAGAGTACTTATATTCCAATATTCTGTACTAATATTATTTTCATGGGCTAATTTCCTTACCTGCATCCATTCGTAATGTGGGAACATTTGCTTATTTAAGACTACACCGGACGCCAGTGTAGCAGCTCTTGCAAAATGTGCACTCAGAACCCGCATATTGTTACTTCTTTTTCCAACCAATGTGTTATGTGTTCGAGTCCTAGGTTTCTTGAAATCTTAAATTTGCTATTTGAGTTTATTTAAACCATGGTATAATTGCTAGGGTAATACCCGGTTTGTACGCCATAATTTCCTAACAAACTCTTGTATAGTGATATGGAGTTTTCTGACATGCTACATATTAATATTAGGCCTTTAACAAACTCAGGCTTGGACGCTAAGGTTTCAAGAAATCCTGACATGCATGCTAACCTTTTTGTCATTGTTTACAATATCAGTAAATTGTTGTCCCTATTTACAAAGGCTTAAATTATTTTCTATTGAGACTATCCAAAGACCAATGAGATTGGAAAATAGAGAGGGTAACGAGCCATAGATTCTTGTGTTAAACAAAAAATACATGTGCATGGATCCATGAAAGGGGATATCCACGGATTGCTCCTATGTATTGAAATAGGATGGTGGCAAGACGTGGACAACAGGCTTGTGCATAGAATGAAGTTATTGACAATATTTTTTTTTTAAAATTATTTTAATTAGCATTTTCCCTTCAGATTGTGCAATTTTCATTTATTCTCTATACACGTTTGTGTATAAATGTTCATTGGAGGAATAAATAATGCAAATTTTCCAGTCACTTCTTTTTTATATGATATCGAGCAATATTAGGGTTTTTTTTTTATCTTTAAACTTTTTTCTCTCCTTACTTTCCTGGTCATGCCTGTTTTCTTATACTTCCCTTTCGAAAGAGTTGACCATCATGAATTAATACTCATATCATTTAAATAAAAAAACTATTTAATGTGATCTTAGACTGTTTAAAGTGATCTCAGATTATGAAGATCTTTATAAAAGAAGAAGAAAAGGAAAAAATCTATATTGTTGATCATTCAGATTTGAAAGACTTAAAGTTTGCACTTTGGGATGAACATATTATTTTGTGTCTTCTGAGCATCATTATGCTTGAAATTAGTGGATAATACATATTCTTTACAATTGCAAAAGATGTTTAGGAAGCTATCGAACAAATTTACCCAAAATTTAAAGACGCCACTCTCTTCTATGACAAGCTCTGAACAACCAAGCAATGTAATCTCTTTTTTATTGAATATTTCAATGCAATGAAGCTTATTTGTTAGAACTAGATTATTATTAAGATCTCAATATGAAGTGTTATATTACACGATTATTCTTAAAGAAGATGTCGAATGAGAAATGATTTTTGAATTTATTGTAGGATTTAAAGATGAATTTAAACCATTTCATATTAATATCATGAGCTGAGGGGCCTACCATCTTTAAAATGAGGTCTTATAATTCATTCGAGTCGAAGATGAAAGAAGGATGTCAATGCTTGGCACTTCCATCTTTGAAATGTCTTTCACAACAACCATAGCCACTCAAAAGTAAGGGACTTGATGCTTCGTAATTTTCTCAAAACCAAGGATAAAGACTTTTCCAAAATACAACCTTTGGCTTATCTAAAAGAAAAAACATATAAAAAAGAAATATTGGAAACTCCGATGAAAATCCCTAGTGGAAATAAAGAAGGCCAATCATAAGGATAGATATATCACATTGAATCAGAAAGCTTCAACTTAGTAGAAATTAATGAACTAAGAAATTTTCTTGATTCCTAGAAAAATACTTTCAGTCTGCTCTCTAGCCTATAATTAGACAAATTCTAACTATTATATTTTTAATACCTTAAGTAGTTTTCTTAAGACTTGAATAATAAATTCAGGGGTCATTGATTACATGGCAAATATTACCAACTTTTTTCAAATCTACAAATTATGTTTGGACAATAGGAAAACTAAAGTAATCGAGGAGAATCACCAGCCGAAATAGGAAGGGGATAAGAGGCAGACAGCAGGCTTTAGCATACTGGTTATTGATTTTAGTTTTTTATTTTGAAATTATCAAACTTAGTATTTCTGGTTAAGCTTTTGCAGTTTTCATTCTATAGGTAGCTCTGTGTATATATATCTATTGGAGAAATAAACAGATTAAGCTTTTCATACTCATTTTTTTCAAAATTTTTCTGTTTTTGTGAAGACAACCAACTATAGGATGATTTTTCTATATTAAATTCTAAAAGGCAAACACGCTTCCTTTTAAATATGTTGCTTTTAAATATGTTGACTGCTGCGTTGACTGCTGCAAGAACATATTAGTTGAACCATATTCTTTAGTATTCATCATTAATCTAATCCATATGTTTTTGAACTTCACTGTTTCTTGCACAAGGCATGTGTTAATTATTTGTAATCTGTTGCAGATAGGTACACTGCTATATTCTCGCATTGATAAAGCTAATTCCTGTATGAATCCAGAGTTAGCATGCACTGATGGTAATTTATTTTTTGTGAAATTTACACATAATTCTTTTATATTTTACTTATCTAACATCTAAACTTTCATATTTACTAACACTTCGTTGTGATAAACCTATGCTTGAAAAGGTGTATTCAACTTCTAAAAAGTAGGTGATATTAAAAATTTGACTGCTATGCATGTGAATTTTAAAGCTTGGGCATTAGATATGTAAATACATAGGAATTGTGTGGTATGTCTATAAATAAGCCAAATTTTAAATGGAAAAGGATTATTAACTCACTTAGAAAAATGATTGTTCTTGATGCTAATTTGATGATGGGCCTTTTATGGTAGAACTTGGCCTTTTACTCTTGAATTGCTTGAATTCTCTGTCCAATTTAATGCCTCTAATTAAAAGAGAGATGAATTAGATATACATATAGAAATAGATATTAACAGGTTTACACAGGGAGGGAGGGAGGGAGGGAGGGAGGGAATTATTAGAATTGGAGATACAATTATAACCCTAAAGATTGTTGTTGATGCTAAGATTTTTAATGTTATAACTGCTTATGCTCCTTAAGTAGATGTAGATATAGGTTCAAAAGAAAAATTTAAGAATGACTTAGAAAAATTAAATAAAGAATTTTTATTGGAGGGGATTTAATGGACATATTAGTAGAGTGGTGTATGATTTTAGAAATATTCATTGTTGCTATAGTTTTGGAGTGATTAGTGAAGAAGGTGTAATCATTTTAGATTTCTATTTAGCATATGATTTTGTTATTGCTAATACTTTATTTAAGAAAAGAAATGAGCATATTATTACTTATAAGAACAGATTTAATAAAACACAAATTGATTATTTTCCTATTAGAAAAAGAGATCGCCAAGAGTGTAAAGATTGTAGGGTCATTTCGAGTGAAAATTTAAGTATTCAATATCGATTATTAGTTATGAATTTTAAGATGAAGAGTTGTAAGATAAAAAATAAAAGAAATCATTATCATATAATTAGATGGGGAAACCTAAATAAAAAATAAAATTATTTTCATGACTAAATTTTAATGTTTCAATATTTGAGATGTTCATGAAGAAGCGAATTCTATGTGAGATCAAGTAACAAGCACTACTAAACAAATGACAAAAGTTGTATTTGGAGAATCGAAAGAAAACGTTATAAATAAAAGTAGTTGGTGGTGAAATAATAATGTGCAAGAAAAGATAAAATATAACTTGTAATGAAAATTGGTTTAAATATAAAAACTTAGAGAACTAGTATAAATATAAGGTGGCTCATAGGAAAAAATATTACCTCAGGAGTACTGATGCATCAGTACTCCTGAGGTAATATTTTTTCGGCTCATAGAGAGTCTAAGAGAACAATTTGTGACGTTGAAAATTCTGTTTTTAGTGATCTTTATAATAGATTATATACTAAAGAGAGTGAAAAATATATGTATAAACTAGCCAAACAAAGAGAAAAGAAAAACAAATATTTAACTCAAGTAAAGTGTATTTAAGTTGAAAATTAAAAAATATTTTTCTTAGAGGAAAATATTCAATATTTGGGTGCGCTATTTTGATAAAATTTTCAATGAAGTTTTTGAAAATACGATCAAATTTAGTGATCTTAATAATTTTAATAATCATAAAATATTTTATTTTTAGCTTCACATTAGTAAAAAAGAAATTTAGGCGGCTTTAAAGAAAATCAAGGGTGAAAAATCAGTAGGATCTAATGATACCCCAGTTGAAGTGTGGGAAGATTTAGGAGATTGGAGAGTTTCTTGGCTTACTAAATTCTTTAATATTATTTTAAAGGGATAATTACATGCAGAGCACAAGAAACAAACATTGTTATTTTCAAATCAAGCACCTAGGTGATTTTTTGAACTATGAGATGATGTATTTATGTGTGACACGATCAAACCATTGTGAATTTGATAAAAATGAAAAATATGGGTTCGGGTTTTATCGTAGCCTTTGATATTTGAGTGAGAATTTGAAAAATGGATGAAAGAGGGTTCTTGTTTTGTAAATAACAATGTTTTGGGTGCCCTATATGTAATCACCCCTATTTTAAAAACAAAAAGATGTCTGAGGAGTGGAAGAAAAGTATTTTGGTTGTTATTCTTAACAATAAAGGGGATGCACAAGAGTGTAAATTATAGAGGAATTAATTTGATGCGTCATAGTTTAGCATTATGGGAGAGGTTTATTGAACATAGGTTAAGACATCATAATCAGTTTTGATTTATGCCATGTAGGTCTAATATGGAAGCTATACATTTATTGAGAGGGTTGATGGAGAAGTACAAATAGAATAAGGAGGATCTACAAATATTTTTTTTTTTAATTTTGAAAAGCTTACGATAAGGTTCTAAGAGAAGTCATTTGGGGAGTTCTAAAAAAGAAAGATGTTGAAAGGACTTATATTCAAGTCATTAAAGATATATATACTAAAACTGTTGCTTGTGTTCGAACAGAAGGATTGACCGATTATTTTCCTATTTCAGTTGGATCACATCAAGGATCGACTTTAAGCCCATATATTTTTTTGCTTTAGTTATGGATGCTCTTACTGAACATTTACAGGAGGATGTACCTTGGTGTATGCTTTTCGCTGTTGATATCCTTCTTGTGGAGAAGACTAAAGAAAAAGTTCAGAAAAAAAACTTGAATTATGGAGGTCTACATTAGAGTCTAAAGGCCTGAATAGACTTAAAATTGAATACATGGAATATAATTTTAGTTGTAGCAGTACTAGTGGTAAAGTTGTAACTATGGGTGATCAAATCATTAAAAGGTGTGATCGTTTTATATATCTTGGGTCTATAGTTCAAAGTGATGGTGATATAAATGAGCATGTTATTAGTAGAATGGAAGTTGGTTGGTTGAAGTAGAGGAATGCATCAGACCTATTGTGTGATTGAAAAGTACTCTCAGACTGAAAGGAAAATCTTTTAAGATGGTCCTGCAATGCTCTATGATGTCGAATGTTGGCCTTTAAAAGAGAAGCATAAAATAAAGTTAAGTGTTACTGGGATGAGAATGCTTAGGTGGATGAGTGGCTTGACACTTAGAAACCAACTGCAAAATTAATATATCTGTGATAGAGTTGGTGTAGCTTCAGTGGAGGACAAGATTAGAGAGAGTCGTCTTAGATGGTTTGGTCCTACTATACGCCGACCATTTGATGATCCTGTTAGGAGAGTAGATGTTTAAGATTTGACTTTTGTTAAGAAAGACAGAGGTAAGAAAGACAGAGGTAGACCTAAATAAGAAAGACAGAGGTAGACCTAAATAGACTTGGGCAAATTGTATAAAAAATGATTTTAATTTATTAGAATTAAATGAAAATATGACACTCAATAGACAAAATGGAGAAAAAAAAGATTCATGTAAATTTATTCGCCCCTCACTTAGTGGGATAAAGGCTTGTTGTTGTTGTTGTTGGGTTTGTACTTAGGGGAGATATTGAAAGAGCTGTCAATGGAGATAGAGTTGTGTAGATCAGGCATGAAAGAGAACATAATGGAGAAAGAAAAGTCCTATGGGAGAGAAAAGTGGAGATAGAAATAAAGAGAAATTTTAACTCCTATTTTATTCATGATAATTAATAATTTACAATACTTTATATCCATCTTTTTATGGAAATAGGATTATATGAATATTTCAATCTAATTTAAATATAATTCTTGACAAACCAAGAGATAAATCCTATAACTAGCATGTTCATTAAGAAAAATGATAATTATAACTAATTTTTTTAATGGAAGATTAACTCATAAGATAATATTGCTAAAAATAATTTGAAGATAAGGCTCATTAATAGTCTTATTGATGCTTAAGAATAATTAGGTAAATCCTTAAAAGTAGAATTAATAAGAGGATTATTGATAAATTTTTTTCATCACCATCATCATCCAGGTCATCAGCTGAAGTTGGATCATTGCAATAATAATCTCAAAGGCCAAATTGATACATCGATCAGTTTTTTGAATTTGTAAAGGTGATTTATGTGCTTAAACATCTAGAATTGACAAATTTTTTAATCTTCAAAGTTCGAACAATTGGTGTGTGGTACGATATGTTATTATGATGAGTGGTTTTAAAGGAGGATGGATAAGGTGATCACTTGGATAAAAAAAATTCAATCTGTATTGATGATGATATTTACATTTCTCATGACATTGATATTATTGGAATATAAGTGACTATTACATGCATCGTTATGGTTGCTTTGAAAAGTAACTATTTTTGGATGTTTATATTTGGACACGATCTCCTATTTAGGGTCTGTTTTGGGGTGGCTGCAGTTTTTTAAAATTGTGATTGTAAATCTGTGGAGGAAATAAACTCTTATATATATAAAAGAAAATCAACAACGTTTTTTACAATTACCGTACTTTAGCAAATCAGGTTGAATAAAACAGCTTCCCAACCATAAAAATTTCGAGAATGCAAATAAAGTAGTTCTCCAAAAATTTGTGGTGGAGGTCTGAAACACAAATCAGCTCTAAATGTACCCTTAGACTCCTAAGCAATTTTTCAGTTTGACACACTTATATTTAAGTTCATCAATAGTATTATGTGGAATCTCAAGTTTAAGAAGACATCGATTGAATTGTGGTAGAAATATGAGGTAAAATGATAGAAGAAATCATCATGTTCAATAATGTTCGACTCAATCACATGTTTATGCTCAAGAATAGTCTTAGATAAATACTTAGGTTCAAGCTCAATAAAAGGCTTGATTATATCATAATAATAATTACCATCATTATCAATAAGCTAGTTGGCAAAACCATTATCATCACAACACTTATACCGAACCAACTTAGGAATATGGTTTTTAAACAAGTGGAATTGGCTTAAGTGCCTTTGGGGATTGACATAATTACATGAGGATGTGCAACCGATCATTTGTATAAACGTCATTTAATTTATGCTGATAATGATATTTATGTTTTTCATAAGATATTTGATCATCATAAGAATATTGATTATGATCATATTTATCAGTACGAAT